TTCTCACCATGTTATATAATGTCTCTGTATCAATCGTAAGACCCGCTAAACATTTCACCAAACAATGCATAGTGTATCCATCGTATATCCTTTTTGCTGCCAATATTGCTTTTTTAATCCATTTCTCGATTAATTTGATTTCACCTATGAATTACACACAAATACACACACACACACACACATATATATATATATATATATATATATATATATATATATATATATATATATATGTATATATATATATATAATATATAAAGCTCAATTTTGTATGTAAACAACATGTAATAAGTTTGTTTGTTTGTCGTTGACATACTTCTATGGATTTAAGTGTTAGATAATTAAAGTCCTTGTGGTCTAAATTTATGAGTTAAAAAATTAATATTGAAAGTTTTGGCAAATAATTTTCATTTATCAAACTGAAAGTAATAATTTTCGGCATGTTCATTAAACACAAGTTTTAAAAAAATATCATCTTTTACAAAAATTCTAATTATGTCTTTATTTAGTCCTATAGCACTTACTTCCCTTTGATAAATTAGGAAAACACAATTACTTCCCTTTATAAAACCATTGCATTAGTGGAAAAGAATTTACTTTTTATTACTTTGTTTTGGTGTTGGGAAAAAAAATAATTACATAATTAGCGGGGATTGATCAAGTGCAAATGTTGTAGGTATTTTACGGATAAGCTTGGAGTATTATAATTGTTCATTAAATTGAAACAGGCGCGTTCGTTTAAGTGAGTGCAAAAGACTATGATTAAGTTGGGGTACTATAGTCGTTCATTAAGCTAAAACAGGTGATTCCGACCCGGGCGTTTATGTTCGCGTTAGTGTTTTCTTTGTGTTTAGGTGGGTTTGCGTTAGTGGTTGCGTTTTGATTTGGTTCGTTTTTGTTCTTTCTTTTTTCGTTTTTGTTTGTGTTTTTTTCCTTGGGTTTGTATTTGTGTTTTTGGTTGGTTTTGCGTTTGGATTTGGTTTGTTTTCGTTTGCTTTTTCGTTTTTTTGTGTGTTGGTATTGGTGTTTGTGGTTGTGGTTGGGTTTGTTGTTAGGTTTTTGTTTTCGTTTGTATTTGTAATTGTGTTAGCGTTATGTTTGCGTTTTGTTGTTTTGGTTTTGGTTGGTTGTGGTTTGGGTGGGCAATGCCGGGTTTATGATGATTACTAAACACACAGGTAATGGTCTTTAACAGAAAGGTTTTTCACAGAAGCCAGAGCAGGGCCTGGCCGGGACGGCTAGTATATATATATATATATATATATATATATATATATATATATATATATATATATATATATATATATATATATATATATATATATATATATATATATATATATATATATATATATATATATATATATTAGATGGCGTTTGTAATATATGATGTACAAGAAATATTTTACTTAAAAAATACATTTATAAACAATACCTTTTGTAGCCAGGAAAGGACCTGTTTCCACCAAATTAAAGACAAATGAGCTTCTATTTTTAAGGTTCCACTTGACAAGTTGTAAAAATATCTAAACATAGTATGTAACATTATTATAGTTTTTATTTATTAAAATTAAGGTGGAAATACGATATTTATAGAAATTATAGTTTTTAACAACATATTTACAAATGCTGGATCTGTTTTAATATTATGAATTTTCTTTGAAGCTTTAATTGATATATTCAAGAGAATCCCAATAGCTTGTTTGACATTAGTTGTTTGTTCCTGAAAACAGAATAAAAGAGAGTGGGGTAGGTTTGGAAAATTCTTAATTTTAAAGACAAAACAGTGCATTGTCTACTTATGATTAATGATTTATTATATTTTATCCACCATTGAATTTTACATTTTAGTTCTGCAGAGATGTGGAAAGATTTAGAATGGCTGTTACATTTAAAACTATGCAGAATTACCGATTACAAATGACTGTATCAGAAAATAACTTATAATTTATGGAAAAAAAACACTTAATTCAATATCCTTCCTGCACCTTCTATACATTTTTTACTCTTATTTGTTTAAAACATATTATCAAAGCCAGTCAGAGCATGGTAGGGAATTAACAGTATCTGCATGGTGAATTCTGATATTATTACTCAAAAAATGGTTTAAAAAAATAAAAATAACATTTTAAAAAGTGTGTGTCTGCTTTCTAGTTATTAATATAGTATCATTGCTAGCCAAATAGTTAAATCATACCTCATCTAAAGTTTCGTTACTGCAAATAGTTATATACTTGTTCAGCAAAGGAACGATTTCTTGTTGTGCTAAAGACTGTAAATTAATTTGGTTGTTATAAAGTTTTGTAAAAATCACTAATGTCTATAGTCTATAGTTAAAAATGAAAAACAAAGAATGTACCTAAATCAGTTGAGATTGACGGGAATATATTTATCTTCAATAATTGTATGTGAAACATTTTACCTTAGCAAAGGAATTATAATTGCTGAATCCTTTCATTGTTACTAAAGTAACATGAATTAACGTTGGAATTACGTTAGGTTCCGATGTGTCTAACAGTTGCAATTCTCTAATATATTTGACTGTGAATTCTAAAAAATAGTACATTGATTAGTTATTAGAAAATATAATACTAGCATTTCGATTATATGTGTGCTCTCTCTTAAATATTTTGTAAAATGAAAACTTTTCTGCTTTAAATTTAAGTATTTTGAATACTTTTAATAGCACTGCCCCATCTAACTAATGTTGTTTATTTAGCTTCTTCTTCTTCTTCGTTCTTAATTTTTAGTGTTGGGAGGGATTGAGCCTTATCTGCCAGAGGGTTTGAACTCGATACTTTTTTTTCGAATTTATCAACCATGAGCTTTGCCGACTCGACCATGCTTCCATCACAATTAAAGATACGTGTCAACTGGTTATGCGCCATTGAGGCCATTGACTCCGATTTCAGCCTGCTTTTCTTTTTGGATTTGCTTCCATAGCCTTTGTCCAACCAAGAACAAACTACAAGGCAGCAGTTGTTTGATTTTGGAGTTGTCTCTCCTAGAAGAGTGGCTGTCCCCAGCTAACGAGCCTCATCTGCCCGAGGGTTCAAACTTGAGACTTTTCGGTTTAGCAACCATGAGCTTTACCGACTCGACCACGCCGTTTATAAACCCCTGTTTATTTAGCGAGAGGCGTAATTTCTACAAACCTGCGTAACAGCGATCTGCCAGGTATTTGCCTATAGCATTGCAAATTGTAAGCGACTTTTTAAAAATTAAATTATGAATCATTGCAAAGCACTTCTGATAAATGAAAAATTCGAAAACGTCCAATTTTGTTGCCTTTGAAAATTCCCTCATTACAGTTTTAATGTGAAGTTTCAAATCTTTCATTTTTAGCACCTAGATTATAAATAAGAAAAATATTACAACAGTTAGGCCTTAACAGTGTATTTATTCAATGCTAAAAAATACTATGCAAAATAACAAATAATTAATATTACTTATCTGTCATACAATGAGTCTTCGTGAAACTAAACAGGTATGTTGCATGTTGTAACAACCCGTACCAGACGCATTTAGTTCTTTGTAAAAGTATAATATAAAGGTAAAAATCAATGAAAAAGTACCTCTCTTTTCTGTTGAGAATCATATAACTTTCGCATGATTTCAAGGGAGCTATAAATTAAAATTGAATGAAAGATAATTTATATTTTATAGCCTTAATTTAGTTTGAAATATTTTTACATATTAATTACATATTGTAAGCAAACATTCAATGCACGACTATTTCCGACGTTTATTACTTAGATTTAAACAATCTAATATTACTTGCCAAATGCATTCCCTACATATTTATAACAGCAAATATATTTAATATGTAAAATGAAAATTATTGAACTTAAATAATAAAAGTGGGCCTACGCAAACAAAATAATTATCATTAAAAAAAATTTAAAAAAAACCACGTTTTCTGATTGAACTAAAAAGTAGAAAATAAATGCTATACATCACAATAATGCAAGCGATCACTCTACTATAAGCGATGAAAAACGTGGGGCGCCGAAGTAAAAGTTTTTTATCGGTCATTGTTAATATAAGATGTAAAAGTTATATTACTATTGATTAGATAATACTATTGACTTTTATTAGGGAGCTTGTAGAGAGTCAACAGTATTAGAAACTGTAAGAAAATCACGGCGCCCCACGTTTTTCATCGCTTATAGTAGAGTGATCGCTTGGATTATTGTGATGTATAGCATTTATTTTCTACTTTTTAGTTCAATCAGAAAACGTGGGTTTTTTTAAACTTTTTTAATGATAATTATTTTCTACTTTTTAGTCTTTGTCTGTTTGTTTGCATTAAAATCTTGCTATCGATTTTATCTTTTCGCATTCACTTTTTTTTTTGGGTAAACGAAGACAACTCGTAAAAAACACGTGCCTTGAACCCGTGTCGAGTGGGTTAGCAATCGTGTGCCCAACCACTCGACCATATCGTCTCCCCCATACTGGCCACCAGTTGTTACGTTCTGGTTGTTTGTACACAAACACCGCGTGACCATATACTCAGTAAGCCGAAAGAGGGAGAGTACCGAACCTTGTTTTCATCAAATTACAATTACTGGGTTATGTCCCCTTTTCCCACGTTTTTTGTACAAATATATAGTGGTCTAAAATGATCAATAAAATGTTTCCATGGATCAATTTAGTAATAATAACAATTGAATATTCTATTGTCATCGGAAACAAAGCTTCCCTGAAAATTTCAGCGCGCTAGCTAACTGGAAAGTGCCCGAAATTTCGATCGCAAGATTTGATTGGAGAACCAAACAAACAAACAAACAAACAGACGCGAAAGCAAGTTAAAGAAAACGTGGGAAAAAAACCTAAATTTCTAATCTATGGGAACAAGATAAGCCTTGTAAACATAGACCATTTGAGTTAAATAGAAACGTTAAAAAACTTACTGTTTATCGTTATCAAGATTTGTATCAGGCGACGCTAAATATTTTCTTAAGTATGTTGTAGTATACTCCGGCTGTTCTACTAAAATAAAATAAAAATTCATTCACTTTATTGCACTTACAATGTAAATATGAAATACGTAATATTTAGCGTACTATTTAGCTATGTATCATACTTCAAATAAATTTAGTAAGTTGATTAGCAATTATCTACTTCACGTGCCTTTATACTTATACTTTTTATAACACCCTTTCATAAATACTAGAACGGTGTAGTTGAATTGTAGAGCGTACGTCTACTAACCCGAATGTCTCGAGTTCGAATCCAGGTACATTAGAATCCACCCAGCTCTGACGGATAGACCTACTTGACTAACGTTAGGGAAAATAAAGGCGACTGGTCATAGCACTGACCACAATATCCTTTCATATGTCAAGGTCGCGAAGAAACTGGTGAACTCTACTTCATTTGCTTCAAGGACCGCCAGTTGGAAGTGGGACTTCAATTTTAACAAATATAACGACTAGGCTGTATATATATATATATATATATATATATATATATATATATATATATATATATATATATATATATATATATATATATATATTTATTTATTTATTTATTTATTTATTTATTTATTTATTTATTTATTTATTTATTTATTTATTTATTTATTTATTTATTTATTTATTTATTTATTTATTTATTTATTTATTTATTTATTTATTTATTTATTTATTTATATAATGCAATACTACTTACAAATAGGAACATTTTTGTCGAATTCAAAAAGAAAAAATAAGTCCAATTGAATTTCAAAGGAGAATTGTTTCAAAACAGACAATATGTTGCTGCTAGAAAATATTAACATTTTCAAGATAATTTTCATCACATCGCTATGCCTTCCTTTAATAGCTAACTTCAAAGCGTCTTCTGCGTCGTCAAAATGGTGCAGCAACCGTTTTACAGTTGATGCGTGTCCTTTTGAGGCTGACAACATAAGTGCGTTGTTTCCATCCTTATCTTTGCAATTTAAATCAGCATTTTTGGAAATTAAGAATTCAGCGGTTTCGGTTTGTCCATTGTATGCCGCCTCCATCAAAGCTGTCCTGCCAAGATTGTTGACGGCAGCGATATCCGCTGAGTTTTCTAGTAGTAGCTCAACCACTCGTGTATGACCAGCCTTCGATGCAATGATACAAGCATTGTCGCCCATGTTATTTACAGCACTCTTGTCTATATTACGTTGTAAAAGTAATTCTACTATTTCATAATGTCCTTTTGAGGCAGCTAACATTAAAGAGTTCCAACCTTTGTTTTCTGTCACGTGTATATCAGCATTTACATTTAAAAGGTACTGGACTGCTTCGAGTCGCCCGCAAAAAGCAGCTTCCATTAAAGCAGTCCGTCCAAATTCATTTTTTGTTTCTAAGACGTCTTCATTTTCCTGAAAAATGAGAGGGATTACCTGAGTACTTCCGTTATTTGCAGCTAATATAAATGCATTCGAGCCTTCGTTATTAACTTGCTCCATGTTAGCTTTCCCTTTTAATAGAACCCGTGTGATGGACGCATGTCCTTCGAAGGCGGCCCACATTAAAGCAGTCCAGCCATTGTTATCTCTATAGTTCAAGTCACGTGTTCTGGTAAGTATTTTTTTCACAACGTCTTCATGTCCAAATCGTGCCGCTTCTATTAAAGAGTTACGTCCCATCTTGTTCACATGTCCAGAGTCCAGACCTTCCGACAAGAGCAAATTAACTATTTTAGCATGTCCTTGTTTGGAAGCGATGATTAAAAAATTGTTGCCTAAATCATTCACTGCTGTCCTATCCGAATTTTTTCTCAAAAGCAACTTCACAGTATCAATATGACCTTTAGAACAAGCAAGCATCAAAGCATTAAAGCCATCTTTATCTACAAGATTGATGTTAGCATTGTGTTCTAACAAAAATTCGACAGTTTCAGTCCATCCATTCAAGGATGCCTCCATGAGGGCAGTTCTTCCCAAATTATTTTTTGTATTTATGTCCACGGAATCATCCATAAGAAGCTCCACCACCTTTGTATACCCATTCATTGCTGCTAGGCATAAGGCGTTATTTCCTTTTCTATCTTTCTCAGTTAAGTTTGGTGTTCTTTTCAACAGTACTTCACAAGCACAATAATGACCTTTTGTAGATGCGAGCATTAAAGCATTCCGACCATTATTGGTTTTTGTGCTGAAATCTTTACAGTAAGGAATCAAAGTGTTAACAGTAGCCATATCTCCATTAAGCGACGCCGCCATTATGGCATTATACCCAAATTTGTTTCGCAGAGAAACATCTGCATTATATTCTAAGAGTAGAGCAACGATTCTAGCGTGTCCTTTACTGGATGCTATAAGTAAAGCATCACTTCCATCTTTATAGACATCTAAGATCTCCGCGTTATGCTTTATTAACAGCTTTACAGTGTTATAATGCCCGTTTGATGCCGCTAGCATTACTGGGCTCCATCCTGAGCTATTTTTGGCGTTGACGTCACAAGATGCTTCGAGCAATGATTGAACAGTGGCTATGTCGCCTTGGCTAGCAGCGTCTGTCAAAGACATGGGTTCATCTGTGTCCATTTCTTCATCTTTGCTTGTATTATCGGTATCCATTTTAACAGAAAAAAATTCTATTTCTGTCAAGCTATGTTATACGTCGAGCGAATGTGCTGTTGTTAGATCTCATCTGAAATAGATGTTTTTTAATTGTTAAATAATGTAGAACGATAGCAACATGTCTACGTTATATTAAAAACAAGCAAAAACCGCCTCAAGCGTATGTTTTTTTTATTAATTTAGACAAAAATAATAGCAAAGAAAATTGATTGAAACTCTGGGTCTATTGGGGGACACAACCGAATGACTTAAATAGGTAGTCCTAAAATCAAATTGGTGATTTTAAGGGGTTGTAGCAAATTAAGTAAAAAATCGCAGGACAATTACAGTAAATTTTATTATTCTTTTGAAAATGTGATGCTTTTTAAGTGACATCTCAACTGCTAAACCCTTCGATTCATATTGTAGCAATTTTGCTACAAAGTGAATTGACCCCAAATGAATATTCTTAAATACCCTAAACAGACTGTATGTGTGTTTCTTTTTACACAATTCGAATTCGATTCCGTTTAGTCGAACAGATGCGATCGAGGTTTTTTTTTTTTTTTTTTTTTTTTTTTTTTTGAGAAAATAATTTGAATACACAGGCCGTGTTTTTCTTCTTGGCAAATTTTTTTTTTTTTCTATTCTCAGGTGAGTAATTTTACCTAAAAAAAAGTTGTTTGTATACTATTTTGCTACATTTGTGCTGATAATATCCAATTACAGTATGTAGCAATTTTGATACATTATGCAACGGTACGACCATGATATTAAACCCTTTGAGGACCAAGGGACACCAGTGTCCCAAATTTTCAAATTATCGCCAAACGAAATTGGAATAACATAGAGTTGTTGAATTTGCTTTAAAACAATTATTACATGATAGACTTAATCTAAATAAGGCTGTTTTCAGTATATATGAGATAGTTTTGTTGTCATAATTATGGAAACTTTCCACTTTTAGACCATTCGCAAGGCTACAGTTTACATTTTTATATAATAAATACTAAATGTAACAGAGTTAAATAACTAGTGGTTTTTTAAAGGTTTACTATTGAGGTATTGTATTTACATTTGTTTGTTTTTTTATATGAGTAATTTGTTTTGCTTGGGAAATATATGTCCCTACGGTCCGGAAGGGAGCTAACTTTTTTACAATGTCGCTAAGCATGTGTTTTGGCAGTTGAATACATATAGGGGCAGAGCTTTTATTTACTATCACTGAACAAAATACTGAACAAATACTATTTATAGACAATAATGACGATAAAAACAACTTGCTTTTGATGAAAAAGATGTGAATTTTCTGTAGAAAAATGTCGATAAAAGAGGGGAGAAGATATAATTGAATGCCCTGTCTAGTCCCAGAACAGATTGTCACCAGTGATAAAGCCTACACCTCATTTTAGTCATTCTATTTTGCATACATTGCATACATTGTCAATCTCATATACTATATAGACTAATATTCCCTCTAATCTGTATGGTCGCGCAGTCGATCAGTATTTTTGAACATGCCGCGCTTTCATTTCGTAAATACATGTAATCTTGTATATGACTTTTAGAACACCCCACACAAAAAATATACGATGCACACTAGATTTTCCCCTTTGAGGTAGCGTTAGTAGTGAGAATTACCACTCGGAAATACCCCCCACCCGATATTTCCACCTCGGAGTAATTACCCAGTGTCTAATTATGAATAAGTTAGGACTAGAGTTAGGTTAGGGCTAATGTTAGGGTTAATTCTTGGTTTAGAGGTCAGTTTAGGATTTTATGTTAGGGTTAGATATAGGGTTGGCGTTTGGGGTTAGGGGCAGGGTTCTTCAGCATCAGGGGGGGGTTGAGTATTTGACGGGGGAGGGGTAATGTCCTACCCCGAAGCTGACACTTTACATTATCATCAATAGAACATCATTCGCCCAACGAACAATCAAACGTCCTCGTGAGATTTGAAAAAGGAGACTGGAGCAATACATTGTTTTCAACTAGATGCTTCTGGAAACACACTTTCAAATACACGTTATTGACTATGGTTGTGGGAAATTTACAATACATGTTGATTGTAATTAAGATCCCATTATTATTTGGCATATTTTGAGTGTTTGGTAGCTCTGATTATTGATAATAGTAAACAGTAAGTGATTCATTTTTAAACTTATTCGCAAGACATTTGTAGATTTTTTAGAATGAAACTTGTGATGGGATACCATGTACTTCTATATTTGAAGACTACTATTTCACGGAACCTGATCTCCATGTTTCATGTTGATAATGTGATGCCAAGATAAAGATTTGAAGTAAAAAAAAAAGGCATTTATACGCACACGTGACAAGAATACAGGTACAGGTACAGGTACAGGTACAGATACAGGTACAGATACAGGTACATGTACAGGTACAGGTACAGGTACAGGTACAGGTACAGGTACAGGTACAGGTACAGGTACAGGTACAGGTACTGGTACAGGTACAGGTACAGGGCGAGGTACAGGTACAGGCACAGGCACAGGCACAGGCACAGGTACAGATACAGATACAGATACAGATACAGATACAGATACAGATACAGATACAGATACAGATACAGATACAGATACAGATACAGATACAGATACAGATACAGATACAGATACAGATACAGATACAGATACAGATACAGATACAGATACAGATACAGATACAGATACAGATACAGATACAGATACAGATACAGATACAGATACAGATACAGATACAGATACAGATTCAGATACAGATACAGATACAGATACAGATACAGATACAGATACAGATACAGATACAGATACAGATACAGATACAGATACAGATACAGATACAGATACAGATACAGATACAGATACAGATACAGATACAGATACAGATACAGATACAGATACAGATACAGATACAGATACAGATACAGATACAGATACAGATACAGATACAGATACAGATACAGATACAGATACAGATACAGATACAGATACAGATACAGATACAGATACAGATACAGATACAGATACAGATACAGATACAGATACAGATACAGATACAGATACAGATACAGATACAGATACAGATACAGATACAGATACAGATACAGATACAGATACAGATACAGATACAGATACAGATACAGATACAGATACAGATACAGATACAGATACAGATACAGATACAGATACAGATACAGATACAGATACAGATACAGATACAGATACAGATACAGATACAGATACAGATACAGATACAGATACAGATACAGATACAGATACAGATACAGATACAGATACAGATACAGATACAGATACAGATACAGATACAGATACAGATACAGATACAGATACAGATACAGATACAGATACAGATACAGATACAGATACAGATACAGATACAGATACAGATACAGATACAGATACAGATACAGATACAGATACAGATACAGATACAGATACAGATACAGATACAGATATAGATATTATAATTTCTTTCCTAGTAACAAGTTTGAATCAAATTAAAATCAATTAATTGGCCTACCCAAAATATTCCAATGATAGTTGAATAATCATTTTTCTCTATTTTAATATATGTTTAACCAATGTTGAATATTGTAGCAAAATTGCTACATAGTGTATTTTTGCAGAATAAACATTATTTTTTTAAATAATTTAATTTCATCATTGTTTATGATCTCTACACACCACAGCCTACATTGCAAGATTTCTTTTTTTAAAAAAAGCTTTCACAAAATTAAATAATGCGATGAAGGTCTAAAACATACTGACACAGACTAATTTAATTATTTACTTTTTTTTCTTTCTGAATGAATCATGTTATACAGACATCACATGCCTATCAGAGACGAGGGAGGTGGGGGATGAGGTCAGTGGTTAGTAAGTAGGGAGGCAAGACAGCATATATATATGTATATATATATATATATATATATATATATATATATATATATATATATATATATATATATATATATATATATATATATATATATATATATATATAAAGGATGAACACACACGTGAGTTTACCTAAGGATTATGGTTAATAATTATTAGAGAATGTTTTGTGATAACATTTCATTGGGGTAAAGCTGGACTTACTGTGGAAAATCCGACTCGAGACTTTAATCTAGAATACACTGAATTCAAGAGAACTACTTGCTTCACAACGAGAGCTAATCGAATTTCATCTAACTGTGAAAGCACGTCAGCATATATGTAATGGAAATCTTACTTATGACAGGAAATAAATAATCATGTTTTACTTACCAATGTTTTCATATGAAATCTACTGTACTGAATACACAACCTATGATTTTTCCCTCCACACGATCGATGCTTTGCCCCGTCTAGCAACCGTTTAACTGGACGCCTGTTAAATCAATGGAAATGCTTTCTTCTAAAAATAGATAACACATGTTGCCACGCGGATTAGCGATTCGTCATAAACTCTTTGTGTCAGTAGAGAGGTGAAGGAAAAACCGGGGTAGGGGATTTCCAGGAAAAAGGTAATTTGCATCACGTGATCGAAATTATTGTATTATCAACTTGTATTGTCTGACACGATTTGTACAATGTTTTAAAAATAACTGAGGCTCAAATTGAACATTTTTTTGGTATTAAATTCACATAGCCTTGTAATGAATTCCTACATCCGCATTAACCAACGTAAACGATATCAGAAAAGGAAACCGAAAGTAATTTTAACCTTCAACCCCCCCCCCCCCCCCCACACACACACACACACTAACACTATAACTCGCGTGTTGTTGGTGATTAACCGCATCGGTATTTTTATGTATTGTGATTTTATACAGTATTATTTTAAAATGAACATATAAATCTAATCCTTAAACCTTTACGTTAAATTATCGACTATCCTTAACATTAAAAACACAACAAACCCTTGCCTTAACCAGTAACAGTAACGCTGACTTTAACCTACATTGTATGTCTTATGGTTCGAATTACGTTTTTCTATGTAACTTGCTGCAT